ACAAACTGATGCTACAGGATCATACGAATCGTGTGGGCATAAAGTGTTCAAAATGACGACACGACAACCTGTTCCTTTACTGCATTCAATTTATTACCCGTCAGATAGCAAGTTTCATCAGAAACACAGAGGTAGATAGGAAACATTTGTGATAGATAGATAGAGAGAGACAGGGCGACAGAGAGAGATGAACAGATAGATGTTGCCAGATAGTTCAGACAGATAGATTGATAGAGTGATTTGAACAGAGAGGGAGAGATGAAGATAGATAGATAGATAGATAGATAGATAGATAGATAGATAGACGCGATCAAAATTAGAAAAAGAGGGAGAAAGATATATATATATAGAGTCTCGGCTACCTTGCTAGATAAATCGAACATATATATATATATATATATATATATATATATATATATGTGTATATATATATAAATATATATATATATATATATATATATGTGTGTGTGTATATATATATATATATATATATATATATATATAGAGAGAGAGAGAGAGAGAGAGAGAGAGAGAAAGAAAGAAAAGATTACAATTGTTTCCAACGAGAGAAAAATGTATATTTTAAAAAAGAGAGAAACCTCAAACGTTTCTGATTATAATGTGGATTTGTTTTAGAGTATATATTTTATTCTAATTTTCATATGAAGAATAAAATTTAACATATAGATTAAAACAAATCCACATTATAACCAAAAAATTTGAGGTTTCTTCTTTTTATATATCTATATATATATATATATATATATAGATAGATAGATAGATAGATAGATAGATAGATAGATGTTATTGAACTATTCTCGGTTAAAAATCAAAATAAATAACAGCTGAAAGAGATTTATTCCAAGACTGTAATTCCTATTGGTAAAATAATTTGACGGTATTGACGACAATAAAATGTTTGTTCATCATGAATTTATGTCGCCCGCAGAATACGCAGAATGAAAATATATTCTTAATTAAATCAATTTTAGAAACGTTCGCACATGCCTAATAAACAAGAAAATCAACGGATGAGACGGAAATAATCAAAGTTCGAACATTATTAATTGATTAATATTTGCAGTTTATTTAAAGATAGTATATAGTTGTATACTGTAAGACTTCTTTGCGCATAATAACGATTTTTTCCTACAAGTCCCACTCATTAACACATATTAGTGGGTAGATGTGGATCTATACCTTTTCCCAATTTTATTTGCGAATACGTGAAAATAAAGAGTTAGAATTGGATTTCAGCTCTCCGAATTCAAATTTCAAGACATTGTTAATTACACTAATCTCACATCCAATCTTACAGACCTAGGAACTGATCAGGCTGGATGGGGTTTAACGTCGGCGATATTACGAAAACAACTGGCTGTTTTAACGTGAAATATGCTGTAATATTGGACACCTGATGAGGTAACATGTAATTATGATAGTTCGGGATTCAAGATGACATTTAAGACAGACGCTTAAAAGATATCACAATTATTATTATTATTATTATTATTATTATTATTATTATTATTATTATTATTTTTTAATCCATATCTTTGAGTAGTCAATTCATTAATACTATTGTATTATTTTATTATATAATACTAGCTACTGGGGACCCTTTGTGAATCAATGTTATATCGATTCTTTAACCGCCTAATCATAGTGTGACTGTATATTGAGTATATTGATCAAGTATTCGTCCATATGAATCTTCTAGTTGCAGATAACAGTGAAATATAAGAACTTTTTCATATACACACACACATATATATATATATATATATATATATATATATATATATATATATATATATATATATATATTATATATATATAATCCCTCCCCATGCATAATTTTTAAAAATTTCGAGAAATTAAAATGTACAGTGTGTGATAGGTAAATTACCACCATTTTATATTTTTAATTTCGGACATGCGGGTAGTTCGTCTTTGGTTTTGTCAAATGCACAGTATAGTAAGGTCAGTTGGGCAAAAAGTGAGAAAAAAAGCACTCCGCCAGAAATTTGGAACGGGCATGCTGTACTACTTGGCATTCGCATTGGAATTCTCCAATAGGAACATTTCCGAGTGTTTGGGTGTCAATGTTAGGACAGTGCAGAGGATTCGGAAAAGGTTACATGAGTCTGATGGTGATTACGAAGGTGTTTGGAGTGATCACTTTTGATGACTACGTTTTCTCTCAGTTCATAGGGTTTCTGACTCAACACAGAGGCCTACATCAAGCACCTTCAGAGGAGAGTTCTGCCTTGGTCCAAGGGTTGCTGTTTGAAGACTCCATGTTTGGTAACAGGATTCTACACCATGTCATCCAAGCAGAAGAACCCAGGCCGTAGTTGAAGCCAATGGCTATTTCACTGAATAAGTTTACTCTCTAGTATTTCAAGATATTTGTGTGTAATTTTGGTAAATATATATGTTAAAATGAGATGTCAGTGTTATTTTCATTTTTGCGTCATATAGACGACAATTTATCCATCGCACGCTGTACACCAGAAAAATCCAAAATTTTGATACAACCGGCAGAAAACCTGCCAGGTGACCAAATCAAGACAAAGGAAGAATTTTTTTTTTTTTTTTTTAACTGGAGAAGACAGGAAAACCTATACAGATCTTAAAAATAAACAAACCAATTAGAAGCGAAAATAGACCAAAACGCAGACACCTATGTAAACACTAACCATCGGTGCTATATACATTGATCAGTTAAGCAGGGCAAAAAAAGCTTCAAAGAGTCACACCTCAAAAGAGACAAAGTTCGGACGACGAGGTGTTAGAGAAAATGGAAACAAAATAGAAACTTATACTTAATATCAGGAATAGGCAGTTGAAAATTCTGTTTCACGTAATAAGGAAAAGGGGTTCGGAAAATCTGATAGTCACAGAACAAATGGAAAGAGTGACAGAGGAAAGTAGGGCATAACATATTTGATGGGCTTGAATAAATTGATGCGAGAAAAGATTTTGAGAGAAATAACAAAAAGACATGATAGCCCACTTCCTGGAGGGTCACGATACATAGATTAAGAAAAGACTTACACAACAGTTAGTTTTTTCTCTCCCTCTTAATATATATATATATATATATATATATATATATATATATATATGAATGTGTATGTATATATATATATATATATATATATATATACAAATTTTTTATATATATTATTTATATATTATATATGCGCGGTACATAATTAGAAAGCGCTTAATATCAATGATAGAACTAACATATTTAGTTGGACTGATGTGAATTTGTGACCCTGGGTTGCAAGCTATTTGCGATTGTGAACAGCCCGAATCCCATATATATATACGACCGAGTGGTTACAATGTTCGCTTTCTGACCATGAAACCCGAGTTCGAATCTCACTATGGTCGACTTTTCAGGAAGGAGACTTTCTAATGATATCAGATTGGTGGTGACGATCCAGCGTGACTGAAAACCATACGACGCGTTGACCCAAGACTTATGAGTGAAATTGTGTAGACAGAAATCTTGGGGACCGTCGATAGCTGTGCTAGCACGAAGTCACAAGCCATCGTGAGGGTTTGAGTGCGCTGGCCTTGTTCAGCTTGTTGATCACACTAGATAATACGCTCTCTCCCAGAAGTTCTGCTCAACAGAGTTGCAGTATAAACCACAGGTGGTCTCTGTGGGCGTTGAAAAAAAAAAACAAATATGCCTGCGTCTGCAATAGGGATATTGGCGAGCAACCTTAATAAACGGGTATCGAATAATTATATATATATATATATATATATATATATATATATATATATATATATATATATATGAGTGTGCGTGTGTGTGTGTGTGCGTGCGTGTAAAAATGCATATATACACAGAAAAACGCATAAATCTACCTGTAAGAGACACGTATGTAAATATACGTGTGCTGAAACGTACAACCTAAATATATGCACTCAAGCGCACACATTAATGCACATGTTGATACTAATGCACAAAATCAGATGTGCACAAAACACAAACATACACACATATATAAGAATCTTCATATATAAAAAATGTTTAAAAATTCATATATGTATATAATATATATATATATATATAATATATATATATATATATATATATATATATATATATATATATAGATATATATATACATATATATGTACATATCTCTATAATCAACAATATCAATAAAATGCAAAAGAAAAAACTCTTCTTCACCAACACGTTTCGTCCTCAAATAAAATTTATCAAGATGAATATCTGTCTCTCTATTTATCTAATATATATATATATATATATATATATATATATATATATATATATATATATATATATGCGTGTGTGTGTGTGCGCGTGTGTGTGTGTTTTTGTACAGAGACAGAGATTTAGAGACAGAATAGGAAGAATGAGATAGGTAAATAATATCATGGCATATATATACATATATATATATATATATATATATATATATATATATATATATATAGGAAGAGAACATCAGAGAGAGAGAGAGAGAGAAGCAGAAGGAGTGGGGACAAAGAGAGAGAGAGAGAGAGACTTAAATTCATCCACAGATTTAATATTATCCCATATATCTATTGATTACTGAAGCAGGTGTGATGCATCGTATGTATTTTGCATTGAATATTTTCGGTAATACCAGGCGGTTATCTTCTGTCCAATTCAAACGTTGCGATATTGTAGTCTGCCGAAATCTAATTTCATAACCAACTAATGGGTACAAATGCATATTACCTAACGCAGATGTCAACAAGGAGAATCAACTCCACCATGCATACAGGAAAATCGAGCCTCCACTTTCAAAGCAGTTGCTGTCATCGAAGAAATTATACATCCACCTAAGCGTAATTATATTGGATATTTCGTAAAATATACGAACCTTTTACCAGTTCCAACTCAAAGAACTGTACAGTATCCGGATTCCACTTTGGTCGTTAATAATCGCTATATTTAAATACGGTCTTAAAGAATTGATATGGCGACTACCCAACTATACAGTGCCGAGCGAAAAAGTGGACATACCTTTCGATACTGTAACGATAGTGCAGCGCCTTGATTATGAAAGATTTCTATTTCAAACATCTGCTAAAATTATACTCAGAATATATAAAACAGGAAAAAAAAAAGATTTTCCTTTTTCTTCTTTGTACCGACTCCCTTCAGGATCAGCGCCAATCACGGCTCTACATAACTTACTATCGTACGTAGCTCTCAGCAATGTTTCTCCTCTTATTGTCCTTCCACAATCCTGTTTTGTGATCCATTAACACAACATTAGGCCGGTTACTCGCTGCTTTATTCGATTCCTCGCTGATTTCTTCGGTCCCTCTTGATTTCAATGTCGTGTCAGAAAGGAACCTAATGATGAAATAGGTGACAACTTCGATTTTAGGTAAAACGGTAATGGACTCGGCGAAAGATACGTTCAATGGCCCACAGCAAACGGCCAAATTGAGTCAAAATCGGAAATACTTTTAAAATTCTTATAAAAATTCTGCGATTTTTTGTGAGGTTGAATCTAAATGTTTTCCTGATATTATCAGGTAACGACTAAGATTTACTGTTCGAATGAGTAGTCTATATCTATCTATCTATCTATCTATCTATCTATCTATCTATCTACGTCAGCTCATTCAATTATCAGTAGTAGTACCCATGTAACAGGCTATTAATATCTATCTACCTCCGTGTGTTCATTATCTATCTATCTATCTATCTATCTATCTATCTATCTATCTATCTATCTACGTCAGCTCATTCAATTATCAGTAGTAGTACCCATGTAACAGGCTATTAATATCTATCTACCTCCGTGTGTTCATTATCTATCTATCTATCTATCTATCTATCTATCTATCTATCTATCTATCCGTTTCAGCCCATTTAAATATGTTTTTAATATCCATCTACCTCAGTCTATTAATATCTATCTCCGTCTGTTCATTATCTACCTATTTTTTATCTATTTGGTTCAGCCTATTCAAATCATAGTATCTACTTATCTCGCTCTATAAATACGTATCTATCTATCTATCTAGCTAGCTAGCTAGCTATCTTTCTGTCTGTCAATCACAATGACAATTTCGCTGTTCGAATTATTGCTCTATCTATTTATCTATCTCGTTCAGCCCATTCAAATCTTACTATCAACTTATGTCACTCTATTAATATCTATCTATCTATCTATCTATCTATCTATCTATCTATCTATCTATCTATCTATCTATCCGTTTCAGCCCATTTAAATCTCAGTGTTTTTGTATCCATGTATCCCAGTCTATTAATATCTATCTCTTTTCATTATCTATTTATTTTTCTATCTATCTGGTTCAGCACATTCAAATCTTAGTATCTACTTATCTCACTCTATAAATATGCAGCTAGCTAGCTATCTGTCTGTCTGTCAATCACAATAACAAGCTCTCTGTTCGAATTATTGCTCTATACTTATCTATCTATCTATCTATCTATCTATCTATCTATCTATCTATCTATCTGTTTTAGCCCATTTAAATCTGTCTTTAAGTACCCATGTACCTCAGTCTATTAATATCTATCTCACTCTATTTATATCTATCTCAGTCTGTTCATTATCTGTCTGTTGTATTATCTATCTAGTTCAGCCATTCAAATCTTAGTATCTACTCATGTCACTCTATTAATATCTGTCTGTATGTCTATCTAGCTAGCTAGATATCTGTCAGTCAGTCACAATGATAGGTTCTCTGTTCGAATTCTTGACTATACTTATCTATCTATCTATCTATCTATCTATCTATCTATCTATCTATCTATCTATCTATCTATCTATCTATCCGCTACCCTTTCATTATCCATCTATCTGGTTCACTCTTTTCAATGTATCTATAATTCTCTTCTGTTATCTATCAAACTCATGTTGTTCCTCTTTTATCCATATCTATCTATCTATCTATCTATCTATCTATCTATTCTATCTATCTATCTCCTCTATCTAATATCTATCTATCTATCTTTTCATTATCTATCTATCTATCTATCTATCTATCTATCTCGTCAGCTCATTCAATTATCAGTAGTAGTACCCATTCATAACAGGCTATTAATATCTATCTACTATCTCGTGTGTTTTCATTATCTATCTATCTATCTATCTATCCGTTTTTTTTGCCCATTTAAATCTCACTCTTTTAGTATCCATGTACCCCAGTCTATTAATATCTATCCCTGTTCATTATCTGTCTGTTGTACTATCTATCTGGTTCAGCCATTCAAATCTTAGTATCTACTTATGTCACTCTATTAATATCTGTCTGTCTGTCTCTCTATCAATCTATCTAGCTAGCTGTCAGTCGATCATAATGACAGGTTTTCTGTTCGAATTCTTGCCCTATACTTATCTATCTATCTATCTATCTATCTATCTATCTATCTATCCGTTTTAGCCCATTTAAATCTCACTCTTTTAATATCCATGTACCCCAGTCTATTAATATCTATCCCTGTTCATTATCTGTCTGTTGTACTATCTATCTGGTTCAGCCATTCAAATCTTAGTATCTACTTATGTCACTCTATTTATATATGTCTGTCTGTCTCTCTATCAATCTATCTAGCTAGCTGTCAGTCGATCATAATGACAGGTTTTCTGTTCGAATTCTTGCCCTATACTTATCTATATCTATCTATCTATCTATCTATCTATCTATCTATCTATCTATCTATCTATCTATCCGTTTTAGCCCATTTAAATCTCACTCTTTTAGTATCCATGTACCCCAGTCTATTAATATCTATCCCTGTTCATTATCTGTCTGTTGTACTATCTATCTGGTTCAGCCATTCATATCTTAGTATCTACTTATGTAACTCTATTTATATATGTCTGTCTGTCTCTCTATCAATCTATCTAGCTAGCTGTCAGTCGATCATAATGACAGGTTTTCTGTTCGAATTCTTGCCCTATACTTATCTATCTATCTATCTATCTATCTATCTATCTATCTATCTATCTATCTATCTCAGTCTGTTCCTTCCATTATCTATCTATCTATCTATCTATCTATCTATCTATCTATCTATCTATGACAGTTGTTTCGTGTATACCACTGTGTCGCTGATAAAATTGCTATCTGTCAGTATAATATATTGAATACAGTATAAGCGCAGGGATCGTAACGTTATTTTCAAGACTTTCTATGCCCACACGATTCCTAAGATCCTGTAGCATTAGTTTCTCTAACCTTTACGTCATGACCTTACTTGGAAACTCTTTAAACAATAATTAATCTATCTCGTTTCATTCTTAGTTTACATCTGTTCTCCGTCTAGCCACCATTTCTAATTTTGCCAAACTACCACCATGAAAATAAACATCGTAAAATACAGATACGCTTTCGTTATTAATAAATCCATACAAAAATAATTTGGAAGCAACACTTTCTTTTCTCTAAATTTATTCTTAAGATCCATTGCTTTCTTCGTGCTGTATGTGTCTCAATCTAGAAAATGTCCGAATGAACTTTGTACTTAATGTAACACCACGGTTGACCTGAGATATCCAGTGGCGGCTCGTAGCTAAAATTAGTAGGGGTGCTGCTTCAGGAAATTTTTAGCCATTGTCTTAATATTGTGTAAAACGAAACAAACACGTAAAAAAAAATTTTAAATTATTAATAGATATTAACTTGATAAAATCCTAAACGAAAAAAAATATTTTTACTTACTTATAAATTGTTACAGTTCAAGCTTGATCCATCCATTTAAAAATGAAATCCATTCTTCTTGTATTACTTTCTGAGAAAAGGTTGATAATTTTCTGTTTGATCGCAGAATGACTGTTGAGGAAATCTTTCTCCATTGAAAGCACTGCAAGGGCATTTAAGTCTTTCAGAATTTATAGTGCGTATTAGAATAGTTTTTATTCTGTTCAGAGTTGAAGAGCAGCTTTCTGCCTCTGGTAATTGTCAAGAGGATTTTCGTTAGTTTCAAGATTTCTTTAAGAGCTCAATCTAGATTATTTTCTAAATAAAAATGAGCTGTTCATTTAATTTGCAATATTCATGTTTATCGGATCAACAATAGAATATTTTAGTTCCGTTTCAAGTTTTTCTTTGTCAATCATGGGATATGATTCAGTGTTCAATACTATCTCTTCTGTAGGCAGTTCATTCTTAAAACGAGTGAGCTTTTCTTGTTGAACAATTCAGCAGTTACTAAGTGTTTAATGGAAGAATATGTCTCCATTATATCAACAAATATGCAGTCGCACACTTCCTTGGTTCTGCCATGAGTTTTCATGAAGAATAATCACAGTACATCGAGTTTCTTATTTTTAAAATAGCCGTTTTAAAATTTGCTATATATTCATTGACTTTAAGCACACTAATTTCTCGAGATTACCTTTGATTGTAAATGACTTCGACATGAGGCATAATCAAGTGAGAAAGCTCTAAGCAAAATGTGAAATTATTTTCATACACGTATTGTAAAAGTACTGCATGAGTTTCTGTGAAGGATTCTCACAGTACATCGAGTTTTTTATTTGTAAAATAGCTGTTTTTAAATTTGTTCTATATTCATTGACTTTAAGCGCACTAATTTCTCGAGATTGCCTTTGGTTGTAAACAACTTCGACATGAGGTATAATCGGACGAGAAAGCTCTAACCAAAACGTGAAATTATCTTCATTCGCGTATTGTAAAATTCCTCTTGCTTTGCAAGGGATTGAGCTACCTTTGATGTTGACTGAATAAGGCAGCCTTTAAAGGTTTCAAATTATCATTAATTCTGTTGACGGTCCGTATGTTAAAGTTCCACCTTATAAAGGATAGAAGTTGAGTGCCCATTCTCTAAAGAGTGAAACTGTAAAGTTTCTCTGGTGTTACACAGCGTTCGTATGTTTCTTGAGAATTGATGCACGATGTGGTGAACTTAGGAAACATGCTGGAATAGCCAAGTGTTAGGGGAAAATATTCTAGCGTTGCTTGTAATACTTGCTGCGTTGCTCATTATTAAATTAAGTAGATAGGCATAAAAATGAATGAAATGTGCACTACTATAGATTTCTATTAATTTTATTTTAAGTCCTCCTCCTCTTTGCCTTTCATGATATTTGCACTATCTAAGCTATCAGTCTGTGTCCATTTCTTGGAAGGATTAAGTCTATTTTTTTCCAGAATATCGTTTAATATGTCATCTGGAGTTTGATTTTCTGGAATAAAGAATCCCTCAAAACGCTCAAATATTTCTTCACTTAACATTTACCGTCGAACAATGGACATTTGAGTTTGTTCCGAAGCATCTCTTTTGCCATCAGCCATGACGGCTACAAACGAAGCTTCCCTAATTTCTATCTTTGATTTCCTCGTAGTATATCTGTAGCACGCAGTCAGTTTTCTCATTTTGAATAGTTTTAGAAACACCTTTGGAAACCGTACTGGTTTTTACGTTATACTTCAAATCTGGATCGAATATAGATGCAAAATTTATTAATCCTCTAAATACCCCTGGATTTACTGAATCATCTTTTTCATCATGTCCCCATAAGGGAGGTTCAAAGTTCCCATAAAATAAAATATAGACTATTATACTGGATAAAATTTCACGTTTCTTTTTAACCTTCACGTTCAGATCATTGATAGAAAGTCTGTATGACTCACTAAGTTTCTTCTTAATATTTACGTTGCCGAAAAGTGACAGTGAAACCACATTTTCAATATGTTTCTTTGATTTCTCATTTCTTTTAGATTTTTCTTCCATTTTGTTTATATTTCTAAAACCCTCTTTTGTCCATGTTACATCACCTCCAAACAACAAACACAGTAAGCAAAACAATGCATTTTTCACAGTACTACCGCAGTGCCAGCTTACCACTTGCTACCATTCAGAATTAAAACTATGAATATATCTCTCGTTGCTGGGCACCTCGGCGTGTTGTAATGGTTAGCAATCTTGTCTCGCTAGATCAGTTACGACCGAAAAGTGAGTTCGGTCCTCACAAGGTGCCCCATACTTTCGGCCTTGTGCCACATCTAAGCTACGCTTAGAAAATAACTATATACCTCGTTGCTTATTTCTGGCTGAGATATTTGAATATGAGGTGTTGAACGGCTTCTTTTCTTAACTGTATCTTTATGATGGAGAGACAACTGTGAAAACTTAAGCTGCTGGAATACACTTACTGTCAAAGAAGTTATTGGGGGGATTTAATAAGGTCATAGTTAAATTATTAAAAATTTTCTATATAATAAAACAACCGAAAAAATAACAATGAATTAAACAGAATAACTGGATCATAATAGTCATCTACTGTTTTTCACATTCACGAATATGTTACATAGTTTGACACGGACTCAAAAATAAACACTACCTTACATTTGAACAACAGGGTCAGCACTGCGTGAGCGACGGTGCTCTCTCTAACAAGCATTCGCATTTTTCCTCAGATATGTACGCATGCGCAAAACAGCCAAACACCACATTACTGGAAATGTGAAGCACACAGTTCTATACAAGGATTTTTATAATTTTTCATGAACGAGGGGATGGTTACTGACATTAAGCTTATGTATTATATAATGCCCTAGTATAAAGTAAGAATTTAAAAAAGAATAATTATATTGAATGTTATAAATAATATTGATAAAAAGAGGGGGTGCTCAGTTTTATTACACGTCTATTACAAGCAAGAAATCGACAGGAAGTTTCACAAGTGGGATGTGCGAGAAAATAAACTGTTGGAATAAAAGTGGCGGTTTTATCTAGCTAGTCCATGCATTGAATATGGCTGTCATATTTTCTACTTATTTAGTTATTCTTGATAAAATACAAAGAAAAATCTTCAATATTATTGATCCTGATCTGGCGAATCGTTTTTAGTCACTTACCCACCGCAGTTTTCTCCTTGCCTTTTCTATAAATATTTTCATGGTAATTGTTCTGATGAGCTATCCACTTTATAAATACACATTGAGGTTCAATTTTTAAATTGTGTTTTTTTTTTTAATTCCCCTCTCCCGACGGACAAAACTGTACATATGGGGACTAGTTATGGCTTTATAGAAACTTTGAGGCATGTAATGTAGTAAGAATGGTAAGTAAGAATGTGTTGTTTTGTGTAAGGTATACTGTGATATATTTAAGTCAGTAATTGTAGGTAACTAGGTTTAATTATAAAACAGAAGACCAGCCTTCCCCATCCACCCCCCCCCCGTTTTGGCTATGTGCCACATGCTTGTATATTTCCTAAATAAATATTGTTTTCCTTTTTGAGGTATAGACCCCTGACTCATCCAATTTTTGTAAATCATTTCCAGCAAAAGTATAAAGACAGGCGACTGCCTCAAGTACATTTCGTAAAGAAGACCATCTAATCATAGAATCCTGTCTTAGCCAACCAGCTTCAGCGCTTCCCTGAGCTCAGAATATGTGATGGGACATTCGTACCCATGTGATTCGGCCGCCTATTAGCGAAGAAAGACGGCCAAAAAGCGTCAAATTAACCAGGGTTCAGACTGGGCTGCCCGGTGAGCAGATCCTGAAAGTAGTGTCGAAAAGCATCACATATGCCGGCGTTTGTAATCACTGTCCGCTTGTCTGCCAAAGGGAAGGTCGTGATATGTCGATTGGATGAATTTCGAGCCTCTTCGATAGACAGTTCAATAGCCATGTTCGTTGCCTCGGAAGATATTCCTTTTAAGCTAGCCCTAACTAGAAGAGGTTGATCATTCTTGATAATCAAGGAGGCTAGCTAAGTCTACTTTCCCACTATCACGAGATTTAATTATCCAATCAACCTTGGCTTCACATGCCGTTGAAACTGCTAATCTAATAATAATCAGCAGCAGCAAACGACCTAACATTGAATTTTAATATATCCTACCACTTATTCCCAACCACAGGCCCCTTTGATTCTCGTGGTGGCATTAGTAGTAGCTCTGTCACCAAATAATGACGATTTCAATTTCCAGTAACCAGCCATCCGAGCTTTAGACCTAAGTTAACACGAACCTGGGCGAGCCTATAATCAGTGGAATCTATCGAATGAAAACATGGACAACCTGAGAGATATACGTCGACTCTCTTAAATAGGACGCGGTAGCTAGAACGCATCACCGAGACCGAACAGTTTTTGATTAGGAAGTTTAAAAT